CAATGAGAGCCAGGCCATGCGTGAGTGAGTGAGTATGGTTTTACGCCGCTTTTAGCAATATTCTAGCAATATCCCGACGGGGAACACCAGAAATGGACTTCACACATTGTCTTCGGGTCTTCGGCGTGACGAGCCAACCTGACCGCCCCAGCCAGCCCATTAGCATTTAGCACCCGGTCATGGTACTGGCCGAACCAGGGTCGGAGCACAATCTTAGATTTCACCCACGACCAGCTAATCCTGGCACTGAGTAAGGGGAGCAATTTTGTCCTTCCGGCAGCTTAGATTACTGCAAGCCCCGCCCCCAGCGAAATCAACCGGGTAATTATCATACATTTAAATTACTTTATTCAACGTCTTTTAGAGCGATTAAATGGCTGGAATGTGTAAATGTGTTACTTTGTTGGAATGACATGACATCAAATGACAGCTGTTTGGAACAATTTGTTACACCCCTCATATTTTTTTACATTTCTGTTCCATCAATTATGTCGTATATCTTAAATTTTCTTTTTTATTCTGTTTTTATTTTGAAATATTCCCAACGCTGTCATCAACGGCGAAACATGATGACCGAAGGCCCGCAGGTTTACGTGAGACGCCTGGTAACTCTCGATATACACTCTAAATATTTTCAAGGTCGGATTATGGCGATGAAGAAAGAGTTGTGTAAACAGAGAACCGTCTGTGTTTTGGAGATACAGCTATGGTTTTCTCCTTTGACGGTAAAAATGGGTTTCTTGCACAATAGCTATGACATGCATCGTTTCTTACGTAACGGTATACACGTTGAACGGATTTGTTTCTGTGTGTGTGTGTAAGATGCCGAGAAATAGTTATGTGTAAAACAGTAAGTCAACATATCAAAGGTCTTGTATCTTTTGCCAAGTGTGTTGTTATGTTGTATTTAGCTCACCGGGAACAGCCAGGCGGATAACAACAAGCCCTGTTTGGCTGTCGTTCCTTGTCGTCTACATTCTTAAGAACTATCAGAGACACTGAACGTTGGCATACACGTGTCAAGCAAAAGGACACCAAAGTTTTATGGAAATGCTTCTGAGCCAATAAACTATATCTTTTCTGAAACGGGGGTGGGGTAGCCTTGTGGATAAAGCCTTCTCTCGTCACACTGAAGCCCCGGGTTTGATTCCCCACATGAGTACTATGTGTGAAGCCGATTTCTGGTGTTTCCCGCCGTGATATTGCTAAAAGCGGCGTAAAGTCCAATTCACTCACTCACTCTTCTCTCAAACTGTTATATCAATGAAACCAATGCATGTTGTCACTAGCGATGCCTCTTCATTGATTGGAGATGCTCAAGATAAAGACACAGCAAAGAGAACCATCAATTCAGAATCTGAAATAAGGTATCTTGTTACAGAGCATCTATTCGAGATAAAATACTGGTATGTTGGGTATGTTACTAAGTGAGCTACAATGACATGGTTCTTTATTATTGTTTTAAGATTATTTTCCAATTATTATGTGATGACTTTGTGACGATATTGCAGTCTGTTGCTTCCTCGTGTATTGCATTTGGAGAAGAACTATACTCTCCTGTCTATTTCAGGCACAGTGTGAATTGAGGTCTTGTGTGAGACAATGTCTCCATGTAGTTAGGGTCAGCATTTGTTGCTAGCTTGATGTCATTTTAGTGGGTTTAGAATTATTTGAATGAAACTGACCTGGGGGATTCCGTGCGAAACTTCATCCCATCAACCCATGCTTACCATAGGAAACGTTTACAAGCTCGGTGACCTGGTTCATAGCATGTCATCGTACCCCGACGTCATAAGACGTTGCTCATAATATCAGTCACTGTCTTTTTTATTCCATACTATATTTTTACAGACTGTCGACATATTACACAATGTAATAAAATAGTTGTGGCGTTAAACAAACAAACAAACCAATAAAGCTAGTATTGCCAATTTACCACGGGCCTATCCCCTCCTTATAGATGCATGTTGTATGTTCATGCGCACCCCCTACTTAGCAGGATGAATCGACTGAAACCTTCTTGCTAAACATAGAAAGGTATTTTAATTTGGAACAAGGTAACCTTCAAATATGATGACACAGCAATCTTTAGAAACTAACATGACTTACCACATAACTGTGTGGTATAACACTTGAAGAGAAGGAAGAAAAATAAACAACAATAAAAACTTAGCCAAGCAAAGCATCAATAACAAATAGGAGAAATGACGACGGCAGAACACCGGGACCTGGTATATTAACATCACGACAAGAAGAAACCAGTTCTTAGGATTACAGAGACTTGTACTCATGTGTAGCCAACAGTTTTGAGAACGAAGAAGTACGTGATAATATCTTTTTGTCAAAAAGAAAGCACTGATAATTGTACAAATGTTGCAAGAATTGGCAGTTGCTCAACTTAAGATAAAAATGGCTTGCGGTTGTAAACCAAACGCTTACTGGAATGAAGTCTTGGAGCGCTGGCATGCTGGTAGTTCCGTTCTTTCAACCTTCGCCTGTACACAATGCTGTGATTGTTAACATACACGGCATCGCATGTATGTTAAGATCATTCCGTTACGCAACGTAAGTATTGTTTACAGGATGCATTTCATGATCATTTAAGCACCGGGAGACTTATGGAAAGGAACGCATATCAGTAAAAGGTCAACGTTTACAATTAATCAAGTCATGAGATAAATGTAGGAGGAAAGGGGAACGTATTTATCGAAATTTGGCGTTTATGGTCAGAATTCAAGCGTTACTGGGGCGGCTGCTGTTGGAGTACTCCATAGCCATTCGTTAATCCAGAATTTGGTAATCCGAATGAGTGATGAGTTGGGTTTAACGCCGCTTTGAACAGTATTCCAGTCATATCACGGCGTGTCCCCTTGATGTGGTAATCCGAAAAATGTAATTAATTACGGTACAGTCCGGATTGACAGTCCGTATATGGAGGTCTAATTGACAAACTACATTCACTGCTCAACACCATTGCTATGAATGAAATGTCAGGAATATGTTGCCTATTTGGGCAAGGGATCGTCCAAAATAATTTCAGTAATTCTCACTGATAATTATAAGTTTTGCTTCATGATGTAAGACTAGTTCAAGGCAATTGATGCCTTGTTTTCATTGGTTTCGATGCTGCTCATAGCAACGTGTCATGATACCAACTCATATAATTGAAGATGACGTCACTGTCGTTTATACGTGATGTCGTTCCAACACTAGATTGACCCATATTCTTCTACTTTTTACTAAAATAAAATGACTGAGGAAAATAAAGAACAACCTACTCACAACTCACAACGGAGGACATGTCCCTCGTGACAAAATGTTGATAGTCACAAAGCTCGGAACTAACACAATTAATTCACTCGGAACATTTCAACCGTATCTCGTTGTTTATTCTCTAATTAATCCATGAATCGTATTTATTCTTATTTAAATTTGTGTATTTTATGAAAACGTCATTGCTGTTTTGACGACAGTTTGTACGAAATTCAAAGATACACTGTAGTTATTATCATATTTTTAGGGGCACGGGTGGCCCAGTCGTGTAAGGCGCTCAGTTCGATGTGCAGTGTTGCGTGCCTTGGGCACGCCGGAAACACACGATCGTGGGTTCGAATCCCGGTTCGCCCGATTATGTTTCTTGGTTTGTCAGCACTATACCTGTGCTCGTGGGATTCACCAAAGTTGTAAACGTCTGAGACCTGCGTCACTTCGGGCTTTCCACCCACAGTAAGCTGACACGACCTGGTGTAACTTGAATACTGATCGGCTCAGTTGTGTAAGAAGGAATGCGTTACAAAAATAATTACCACCTAGCCAACATTTAGGGTGTAATATCCTCATTGTCGCAGTCGAACGATTTAATAACTAGACGTTGATACACTAGACTATGCTAACAACAGATAATGGCCGCTGTTTATCACAATTATGGCTTCTGACCTATAAACTGAAGGCATAAAGGCGAAAATATAGAACACAACTCAATACTGAACCCATCTTCCCGAGGCAAGTGAGTTAACTGACTATAAAAGTCCAGTTTCCACCCTTGCCGAACTAGGCTGGTATTATGGAGTTACATTTTGGCTGGACTAACGAGTCTATGCATAGTCCAATCAAAATCGTGCACCGAAATCGAATTCCGGTTCGTAAAGTGTCATGCAGATTTCGGTCGACCGCAGGATTTGCAAAGCATGTGAACCGCTAACTCGTTGTCAACAGATATTTTCTATATCTTTTCATGTTTTTAATCAAGGTGCTCAAGTGAGTTGATGCACTTCGCAATGTAAGATTCGTTTGATCACAATATAGATCTTGATTATCGATCAGATCGTCTTGACTGGGCGCCACCGTTTTGTTTGAAGCAAATGCAAGTGATACGAGAGGTTGAATCTGATTGGTCAATAGGAGAGGCATAGAAAGGACATTACTCGTAATAGCCACTGGTGGCGCTACGATCGAGCCCAGGAATTCCAGCCTAGTTCGGCAATGGTGGAAACTGGACTTTTAAAGTCAGTTAACTCTCTTGCCTCGGGAAGCTGTACTGAACTTTGCTCTTATGGCTTCAGGCCCGTGAAGATCCGGGGTAGAAGAGATCTTTAACAACCCATGCCGTAAAAGGCGACTATGCTTGTCGTAAGAGGCGACTAACGGGATCGGGTGGTCAGGCTCGCTGACTTGGTTGATGCATGTCATCGTATCCCAACTGCGTGGATCGATGCTCATGATGTCAATCACTGGATTGTCTGGTCCAGACTCAAATAGCTGCTGGCTTTAAACAACAAACAAACATATGGCTTCAGTTTAGAAGAAATTGATGTCTTCGTGCTACCGTATGTAACAAGTAGTTACAATACATAGAAGAATAAACAAACCTGTTGAATATGCAACGGAACAGGCCAGTCATGAATTAAGTAAAGTTGAGCTCATAAAAAACAATCGACTATCTGTCTAAGCTGGAGGATGGGATAGCGAGAGCAATTCATCTTGGATAACGAAGCTAATCACGTGACTGTGAGAACTGGCGAGATATGCGAGCGTTACGCAACAGGTTCACTACAACCTCCGTGCCAGTAGCAACACTTGTGTTCCGTGCGGTGGGGCTCTGAGGGATGGCTGCTGCAATGTAAATAGTGTGAATTACATGAACGATAAATATAGAGGAGTACGTTCGGCAGTGGAGCTTTATCAGTTTCTCCCACCTACGTAAACAGGTAGGTAGTTCACGTTTTGTTCGTTTCGTTTTGTTAAGAGCAAGATTTGGTTTGTTTATATTTGATATTATATATTCTTGAATCTTGATAGGCGATGCTGCTCGGAGTCTGTCAGCTTCCACGGTTTATTCATAATTACGGTTCTATATTTAAACAGCAATGTGGCTCCCTGGGATGTAAGGGTCTACTTAAGGTTTCATGGTTTTAACTAACTTAAAATCTAATGATTATCTGTGTGGTGTCTGGTGCGACCAAAATTAGCATGGAGGTAAAATATAAGAAATAAGGCGATGCAAATATATATTGGAAATATTTCTGTCATATTATTAGTTTTATTCACTTCTTTATAGGATGGTGTCTGTCATAGTTCTGATACAACTACTAGTACAACTGTCAACTGTGATGCTGGCTCAGGACACGTGTCCCCTGTCATGTCACTGTGGCAAGAAGAGAGGACCAGACAATAAAACCGTCACCGTTATCAGATGCTCTACCGGTGTAGTCCCAGATCTGTCCCCATTAAAATTGGACCCACATCCCAAGGAGTTGACCCTGGACGCATACAGGCACGACAACACTCTTGACATCCGGAAAAACGTTTTCCAGTCTGGGCTGAAAATTAAGAGACTTGTTATCAGAGGAGGACCCAAGATGACACTGCAGGACGCAGCTTTTGTCCGTCTTGACGATTCGCTTGGTTCGCTGAGAGTTGGGAATGAGGTGAAATTCAATACAACATTGACATTCTTAAGAGGATTATCCGGTTTGGTTCAACTAGAATTACGAAACAACAAACAATATTGGACCAGGAGCACGGGATCCCATGTAGTAACCTTGTTTCATGACCTTGGCTTGTACGAACTACAACACCTAGACATGTCAGCCTGCTTCATTTATAAAATGTCAGTGGATGTATTTCGTGGAGTTGAAAGCATCACGTCATTGGATTTATCTGGTAACCGGCTCAGCGATGTTCCCCGGGCTTTGAACAGTCTGACACATCTCCAGAAGCTGGACCTTAGCTTTAATCATATAAAATCTCTCCAAAGTGGCGCCTTCAGTAAACTAAACAAATTACACTCCCTGCTCCTGGTTGGAAACGAATTTGGAGAACTTGTTCCCGATACTTTCAGTGGCCTTGAGAACAGTCTTTTAACACTAGATCTGCAATTAACAGGCCAGAAGGTTATTCCCACACGCGCTCTTCGTCGGTTGAAGATGCTGAAGAATCTTAACATCAGTGAAAACCCATTCACGTCAATGTTAGCGGATTCCTTCAGTGGAGAATACTGTTTACATAGGTTAGATATACATTACACACAGGTCGAGTTTCATGCTAATATGTTTGACAGCCAAAAGGATTGCCTTCATGAACTCAGTTTGTACAAGACGAAACTAACGTATATTCCTCGAGGGATCCTGGCATCGTTGAGCAAGTTGAGACGGTTGGAATTCCATGGCGCTGATATTGATATTTTAAAAAACAATAGTTTATCTGGGATAAACGCCAAATCAATAGACCTGTCCTATTTGCCTCTTTCGGAGATCGAACCTGGCGCGTTCAGTGGTTTGAATGTACCAGTCAACGTTACCATTGTTGGAACGTCTCTCACGAGTCTTGACTTTGTGCTCGGATACAAGCCTGGAACATTCCAAAAACTAGAAATCGAAGGGTCTATTATTTGTGACTGTGATCTTTTAAAACCTTTAAGAGAACTTGGGTGTGCACTAATTGGATCCTGCTCTAGAGAACATAATATTTCGGTTATGAACTTGCGTAATGATGAATTTAGAAACTACTTGTCAGAAAAATGTTCAGTGGAATTGTTTGCGCCCGTGTGTTTGTCGAATATCGTTCATAATAATTATTGCTGTGTGTTTATATTATTGCTGATGGGATTAATACTCATAGAATTTAATATATAATCTTTACTAATGTTAAATTATTGCTATGAAATACTGTATTGTATGTAGTTAGGTGTAGGGATGTATATAAGATTGCTTCACGTTGCCCATGTGGACACTCTTCTCAATACTTAAGCTGTAAACTGCGTTATTGGCATTCAGCAATATCTTCGATAGGATTGGGATTGCAAAGTCTTTCAGAGAGTATATATACATTGTTAATAAACGGATGTTTTCTTCGTTATGCTGTTGAGGAGTTTTGTAAGAAAGTAATTTTTATTACTTATTTCAACTTTTTACTTCATATATATATTTACATATACTCCTAAAGTCAGTGTATATTTCAATGTAAGGCTTCATGTGGTATCATAATATTTTAGCATATAATCATCAAACGGGGCACAGTGGTCTAAGGCGCTGCAATTCGATGTTCAGTGTTGCCTCTTTTAGCCCTGTCAGAACCTGCTGGTTGCGGGTTTGAATGCTATATTCGTCTCCATTATGAAGTCAGTAACATACCAATGTTGTAACCCACTTACTCGCTAATAGGGGGAGCGGCTTGTCCGGTCGCCTCAGGCGCTGCTATTGGTTGTGCAGAGTTGCGTCCCTTAGGTGTGCCAAAAGCTTTTCTTCACGGGTTTGAATCTCAGATTCGCCTGGCTTAACTCTAAGACCTGCATCACTTTGGACTTTGCTCCCACATTAAGCTGACCCACCATGATATAACTGGAATACAACTCATAGTGGCATTTAGCCCAATTCACTCACTCACCCACTCACTAGCTCCAGCTGTGATAACAATGTCTTCTTGTACGTATTGTCGCGTAGTGATGAATGCTCATTTGGTCTTCAAAGAGTTCCCCCAGCACTCAGAGAGCGCGGCTTTTCCAAGACTTATTTTTAAAGATTTTTTCTACATAACACCTTTGTCTTTCTACGTCTGAATTCCACCATGGTATTAATGTACTATTTCCTCATGCTGTCAACCATTGTTTGGCGGATCCAGTTTACTTCCAAGTCGCCATTATAAAGGTGTGGCGTAAAACCATATTCACCCTTATTTGGATCAGCTAAGGATCCTGACAAATATTTTGTTAAAACATATGACGGTTAGGCGTTACTCTAATTGCTAAACTTGATATTCCCTTACACGGAAAACTGTTACACAGACTGGTATAACTGATAATTTAGCACAGACAGCTACATCCATCAAAGGCGCAGTGTTAACATGCACGTATAGGTCGTCCTGCTGTAGTGGCATTACCGTGTCACACGTCAGCTGGAACAATTGGATCGGCTGCTTTAAGTATTACTGAACGACAGCAACACAGAGATGGCAAACCGGACACCCGGCAAGCGGACGGTTACTGTTGGAACGTCTATATATATCTTTCTATTGTTTGTTTGTTGTTTAATACCACAGACAGTACTAATCCAGCTACAGTACCGCCATATGTGAACAATCGAGTCTGGACCACACATGCAGTGTCTAGTGAAAGCATCGTCCGACGCCGTCGGAGTACGATAAGGCATGATAAACCAAGTTACCGAGTCTGACCACCCGATCCATTTAGACGCTTCGTAGGAGCAGGAGAGGTTGCTGGGGACATAGTGGTGCGTACACATAGTTAATTCATCCTGATTTGTTTTAATCCGGACTATATCAGTGGGAAAATACTGTCAGGAGGGTTCCACTGTTACATACAGATTATACACTCGGAATAAGTTAAGCAACACCACCACTATTTTTACACTGTAAACTACGGTTATAGCGAACTCAAAGGGACCACTGTTTTTAGTTCGTTATAACCGTAGTTCTTAATAAGTATATATACAGCAAATGAAAAGGACCAAAAATAGTTCGTTATATCCATCAATTCGTTATAAGCGTTTTCGTTATTAACGTAGTTTACAGTATGTTGAACTTCTATGCATCTTTCGGAAACATGTGAGCTGGGTTCATTTTGATAAAAATGCCCAACATACCAATGATACACCTGGGATAGCTGGTACAGGAGGAACACTATGTTCCTCGGGTGATTGCAAAGACTGACTAAGGTGGGTTTAACGCCACTTTGAACAGGACTCAAGGTATATCACGGCGTGTCAGCTTAATGTTGGGGGAAAGCCCGAAGTGATGCAGGTCTCAAACGTTTGTCACTTCAGTGAAACCCACGAGCACGGGTATGGTGCTGCAAAACCTAGAAACATAATCGGGGAGAACCGGGATTCAACCCACGAGCATATGTTTCTGGTGTACACAAGGGACGCAACTCTGCAAAGCGAATTGTGGCGCCTCAGGCGACTGGGCCACATGTGCCCCCTGCAAAGATTGAGTCACAACATATGATACGAACAATCCGAGGAGTCAATTGAAATGGTAGGCAAATAACTAGTGTTATGGTGAAGTTACAAAACGTGTCATTAAATAATCTATTTCCGTTTCTGTATTTCAATGTTTGTCAGTTTGTAAAACATAATAAAGGTGGTTTGTCATAAAATTACAAATAAGATTCGAATTTAAAATGACTTTTCTTTGAAAATATATACTAAACGGTGTTTAACATTTTTCTCCAGGTGTATACTTGAAGCAGTTATAGGCGTATATCAGTGTTGTAAATAGACAGTTTCATGCAGTCGTACACAGGTTGAAAGCACCCACAGTTTACCAGAATACGTGTGAGCGCAGGACGCTGCAAGGTGGCTCTGGTACACGGATTCAGAGGAGCCTGGAGCATATGCCGAACATTACTTTCTTGTATACGGTTTGGCTCTTCATTTAAATATGACGTAGTTTTACTGATTTAACCCATTAAGTGCTGCGTGAGTGTGATTTACTGCATCATGTCAATTATAAGTAACGTACATATTCCTCTGGCTTTACTCATGTTTGAGCAATATTCCGACTTCAGCCTGCCGTTAACTGTGTCTGGTGTTGTCCATTCGGTGATCTGCAGTTAGGCGAGGCGCGGCGCTCCATCAGTGTCAGTTAAAACGTATTGCGTGTTGAGATGCTATGAACTAGGAGGATTTCGTATATACAGGCAGGAATCAATACTTTCTGAGAGTTATCATACGATGGATGTAGAACCTGACATGCGATGTATTCCATCATTCAGTTGATAAATTTGTTTGACGTCTTGAACATACAGTAAACTACGGTTATAACGAACTCAAAGGGACTACTAATTGTAGTTCGTTATAACCGTAATTCGTTATAAGCATATATACAGTATAACTGCAGCAAATAGTCGGGACTAAAAAGTTAGTTCGTTATATCCGTTAGTTCGTTATAAGCGTGTTCGTTATAACCGTAGTTCACTGTAATTATTTTAACTTGTCAAAGTTTGCTTAGATTGAAAGATACCATCAATAGAGTTTTTTTTCGGGTAGAGATGTAACTTCTTTTTTTGGTATGACGAGCAGTGAACAGGAATTCGAAGTAACACGTAACTGTCTCTGTTAAGATGGCGTTTCTTGTTTGATGCCGCACTCAGCAATATTCCAGCTCTATGATGGCGGTTGGTACGTAATAGGGTATGCAAGGGGGGCGTACTGGATAGCCCCAGCTTACCGCAGTCCCACAGCAGGCTAGGTATTACGTATGTAACAATTGTTATACCGATTTGACCCGAATGTGCAATATTCCAGCTATATGGCGGCGGTCTGTACGTAATCGAGCCTGGACCAGATAATCCAGTGATCGACATCATGAGCATCGATCTATGCAAATGGATTACGATGACATGCATCAACCAAGTCAGCGAGCCTGACCACCCGATCACGTTTGTTGCCTCTGTCGACGAGCATAGAAGACAGTTTCTAACCCGGATCTTCACGAGTGCTGTATAAAATGTAGCAGCTGCCGTGTGTCAAAATAGAAGATTGAATAAACGAATTATTAAACGCAGCACACTGAGGTACAGTTGTTATGGGAATAACCTATACAGCTGTCAGACGAGTTCATATACAGTTCGTCCTTCTGCGTGTCATATCCGTTATCGTTCTTCACAAAGTAGGCCCGGGCATGGGCAGATATGTGCAGGTTCTACTTTCACACATTTCAGCTCCCTCCAAGTATCTTCTAATTTCATTTTCTTCAGCTCTACCGATTGTTGTGTGAAAGAAAATGGGCTCAGGCTTCAGGTGATACCGATTAAGGTAAGATTAATTTATACCATCCATATTTGTGTCATGATCAATCATTTTCTAGGCGATCTCAGCTCTACGACCTTCGTACATCCCCCAGTTTAACATATAGACGTAAATTATAGTCGTAACACTAAGATCTTTTGTGGAAGAGGCCCCTGTATTGTATCTCAGAATACGTATGTATAGAGGTTATCACGCGAGTGTGTTTGGGGATGGTAAATATCCTGCATTAGGAATAAACATTGTATTTAGCGAGCCTTGGCGATAGCTCTCCCACTCTCACAAACATTACCGAAACATTGCGAGTTTTCCTGGAATGCGCGCATTAATATTTATTACGTCACAGGGTAAGTGGTGTGTCAGTCGGACTGTGACAGTAGCCAATATAGCTCCAACTAAAATCTGTTTCTTATACAGTGGCGAAGCAACATATACGCAAAACAACAACTGTTTTTACTTGCATTTCGCGGCAATCCATCTGTCTGTCCGCCAGGGTAACTGACCTTTGCCAAAGGGAAGCTACTCTAACCCTAGTCTATGAGACGTCACGGCCACGTTCAGACGTTGTGGACAGTCGGTCTGTCCTGTCATAACGTCAAGTACAGTCAGATGCACACAGAGCGACAAAACGAAACAAGGTAACAATTCAAACATATTTCGGCCAAATCCAACTATTTTAATTTGTGGAAAAGGTTTCAAGTCGCAGAGGTCGACAAGCACAGATATGGCTACTGATCCCGCTTGGCTGGGCCTAGTGCCCTCGCAAAATTGTTTCGAAATTTATATCTCAAAAGTTGCCAAAAGTTATAAAATGCCTTAGCTACATCACAGTTAGACACTGATTGTCAGTATATTAGACTGTTCTTTTGATAATGATAGCAATTATCCCTTTAGTTTATCCAGATTCACGATGGTTAATTCTGACTCGATCGCCGAATGACAAGGGCGATGCCATGTTTGTTTGTAAACACTGAAAGTAGTCCCTACTTGACCTTTCATATTTGCATCTCTATCCGCATATGACCCCAACGGATATCGTTTTTATCCGTTGGCTTTATCCTGCCGAGAAACCTACCCATTATATGATAAATGAGTGTATTCGTCATCTTATCATCGTGGCGATGAAATATTTAGATGTTGATGTATGATAACAACCCGGAGATTCAGTTGAGTCTCCTAGACACACCATGGACTGGACATTTGTCATCTGGATATCAGGATTTTATTCATCAGAATATTTCTGGCGTGTGTCTGTGTGCGTTTGCGTGTGTGTGTGCGTCAGTGAATTTGGCGTAAAGAACATATAGATTAGGGGTAGTTTATGCATACCAGGTAAATAGACATAAAGTGAGTCATCTGGTTATGCATGACATGTTTTTTTCGGAAGTAGAATCAGCACCAAGTGTTACATAAGTTATCTAGTTGTGCATGAAATGTTTTACAAGTAGAAGAATCACTACTAAGTGTGACATAAGTCATCGTTTTATGCATGACATGTTTCACCGAAGTGGGAATACCACCAAGTGTAACAAGTTATCCGCCAAGTCATCTGGTTGTGCATGACGTGTTTTACTGAAGAAAAAACTCCCCACGCGTAATCAATGGATGTTTTGGTCTGGATGACTTCTTAACACCAAGCCAACATTGATGTAGTGTTCCAGAGAGAAAAACAAAAACACCCCAGAACATTTTCAAAGCCAATGGCAGACCTCCCGCAATACCAGATGGTCCCACCGGTACGGTTTACCACGTGTATGTGAGTGTGGTGTATCGTATGTTGGACAAACATCAAGGCCTCTCCCAGTAAGAATTCAGGAACATCAAAACTAAGCGAAGAAAGACTCCAAATCTGCCACCTCTGACCATTTCCATGTCCACCCAGACCACAACATCTATTGGAACAACTTCAACGTACTCATCAAAAATCATGCCAACTACAAGATCAGGAACCTCCTTAAAGCCATCCACACCAAAAGACGCCAACCAGCTATCAACAGAGATCAGGTCATTACGTCACAGCGGTCACCATGAACTCATCACAAAACAACCTTAATCCAGAGACCATATACCGGTATATGGTCTCTGCTTAATCTCATGTCCATTACCCATTATATATCCATCTTAATCTTTCTCATCTAAATACTGACTTCCAAGCAACTTCAAGATATCCATCACTGCATTGTTTTATTCAATCATGCCTTGTTTATCCTATTTATTTCTAATACGTACATCAATCCTGTTTTATACTTCAACCTTATCCACATGTATATAACCGTCCTTCTTCACATGTCTGTACATCACTTGCTTGATAACGGTGTTAGTATGTACACGGAAACGTCGCATTCATTGTAATAAAGACGTTGTATATACATAGAAATGTTCATTTCTCTTGTTCATCATCGGGTTATACATGTTTTACAACACCACCCACCCACCTTCTACAGTCACAGTCCTGACATTCAAACCACATAACCGGGTCTATCTATGTGGCTGGGACTTCATGGGGGGTATTATTCAAGAGTACTAGGAACATTCAAAGGCTGTTCTTTTCTTTTTGTCATTCGACACGAGAATTTGCTTGTTCAGCTATTCTTAAAGAACACTTGAAGATGCGTAGGCATGATTGTTTCGACAGCTGACTGTAACAACCTCGAATTCTGTTGTTACGAAGTAGTGTGTGCTTACATTGAACCGAACTCGTGGTCCCAGCCACCATATGTATCCATGTGTCCCACGGCCTAGCTCTAATACACAGAGGATATTGGTTTGTCCTTGTCAAATAATGTGACATTTTTGTTTATCCCGTCGAGTGGTCTGATATTTCAAAAGCGGTGCATTTACATTGTATTATCACGAGCTGTGATGTATACAGTTAATAAATGGGAAGACTGGATGATATGTTCAGATGCATGATGGGAAGGTGGAATGTAAGCCCGATGCAACAGTGCGTGACTTTTAGGATGGAAAGATATGGCCACGACTGCAGTGACAGAGGGGAAATAGGGTGGGTTGGTATATATTGAAAGAGGGGAAATAGGGTGGGTAGGTATATAGTGAAAGGGGAGAAATAGGGTAGGGGGGTATATAGTGAAAGCAGGGAAATAGGGTAGGGGTATGTAGTGAAAGAGGGGAAATGAGGGGGGGGGTATATAGTGAATGAGGTAGGTGGGCGGGTATATAGTGAAAATGAGTGAGTGAGTGAGTATGGTTTTACGCCGCTTTTAGCAATATTCCAGCAATATCACGGCGGGGGACACCAGAAATGGGCTTCACACATTGTACCCATGTCGGGAATCGAACCCGGGTCTTCGGCGTGACGAGCGAACGCTTTAACCACTAGGCTACCCGACCGCCCCAGTGAAAATGAGGTAGGTGGGCGGGTATATAGTGAATCAGGTAGGTGGGTGGGTATATAGTGAATGAGGTAGGTGGGTGGGCATATAGTGAAAGAGGGGAAATAGTGTGGGCGGGTATATAGTGAATGAGGTAGGTGGGCGGGTATATAGTAAATGAGGTAGGTGGGTGGGTATATAGTGAACCTCATTCACTATATACCCGCCCACACTATTTCCCCTCTTTCACTATATGCCCACCCACCTACCTCATTCACTATATACCCACCCACCTACCTGATTCACTATATACCCGCCCACCTACCTCATTTTCACTATATACCCGCCCACCTACCTCATTCACTATATACCCGCCCACACTATTTCCCCTCTTTCACTATATGCCCACCCACCTACCTCATTCACTATATACCCACCCACCTACCTGATTCACTATATACCCGCCCACCTACCTCATTTTCACTATATACCCACCCACCTTCCTCTTTCACTATATACCCACCCACCTACCTGATTCACTATATACCCGCCCACCTACCTGATTCACTATATACCCACCCACCTACCTCATTCACTATATACCCACCCACCTACCTGATTCACTATATACCCGCCCACACTATTTCCCCTCTTTCACTATTTGCCCACCCACCTACCTCATTCACTATATACCCACCCACCTACCTGATTCACTATATACCCGCCCACCTACCTGATTCACTATATACCCGCCCACCTACCTGATTCACTATATACCCGCCCACCTACCTGATTCACTATATACCCGCCCACCTACCTGATTCACTATATACCAACCCACCTACCTCATTCACTATATACCCACCCACCTACCTGATTCACTATATACCCGCCCACCTACCTCATTAACTATATACCCGCCCACACTATTTCCCCTCTTTCACTATATGCCCACCCACCTACCTCATTCACTATATACCCACCCACCTTACTGATTCACTATATACCCGCCCACCTACCTGATTCACTATATACCCACCCACCTACCTGATTCACTATATACCCACCCACCTACCTGATTCACTATATACCCGCCCACCTACCTCATTCACTATATACCCGCCCACACTATTTCCCCTCTTTCACTATATGCCCACCCACCTACCTCATTCACTATATACCCACCCACCTACCTGATTCACTATATACCCGCCCACCTACCTGATTCACTATATACCCACCCACCTACCTGATTCACTATATACCCACCCACCTACCTCATTTACTATATACCCGCCCACCTACCTCATTCACTATATACCCGCCCACACTATTTCCCCTCTTTCACTATATGCCCACCCACCTACCTCATTCACTATATACCCACCCACCTACCTGATTCACTATATACCCGCCCACCTACCTCATTCACTATATACCCCCCCCCCCCCCCCCCCCCCTTATTTCCCCTCTTTCACTACATACCCCTACCCTATTTCCCTGCTTTCACTATATACCCCCCTACCCTATTTCTCCCCTTTCACTATATACCTACCCACCCTATTTCCCCTCTTTCAATATATACCAACCCACCCTATTTCCCCTCTGTCACTGCAGTCGTGGCCATATCTTTCCATCCTAAAAGTCACGCACTGTTGCATCGGGCTTACATTCCCCCTTCCCATCATGCATCTGAACATATCATCCAGTCTTCCCATTTATTAACTGTATACATCACAGCTCGTGATAATACAATGTAAATGCACCGCTTTTGAAATATCAGACCACTCGACGGGATAAACAAAAATGTCACATTATTTGACAAGGACAAACCAATATCCTCTGTGTATTAGAGCTAGGCCGTGGGGCACATGGATACATATGGTGGCTGGGACCACGAGTTCGGTTCAATGTAAGCACACACTACTTCGTAACAACAGAATTCGAGGTTGTTACAGTCAGCTGTCGAAACAATCATGCCTACGCATCTTCAAGTGTTCTTTAAGAATAGCTGAACAAGCAAATTCTCGTGTCGAATGACAAAAAGAAAAGAACAGCCTTTGAATGTTCCTGGTACTCTTGAATAATACCCCCCATGAAGTCCCAGCCACATAGATAGACCCGGTTATGTGGTTTGAATGTCAGGACTGTGACTGTAGAAGGGCTGCCTACAGTGGAAATGTGATTGAGGTGCCGGTGTGGCACGATCGCTACACACAACAGTACATACCAATAGGACTAAGTGGAGAGAGCTTAAAATATCCAAACTTTTAGGGTAATTGATGTGAGATCGATTCCGATAGCTATGTTATGACAGGTATGTGGAAAAAACATTCGTAAACAAAACTCATGGGAAGACAACATTACGTCAGTAGCCTATTACCGTTGAGGCGAAGACTTCACGTGGGTCGCGTAAACATCTGTGAAGAGGTTTAAATTACAAAATATATGCATCACTGGAGATACAAGGCAGCGAAATGTATCGGAAGCATGGAGCTGTGGTTTAAAAACAAAGATGATCCCCAGGGCAATGCTGGCGCGATTCGGCTTTAATAACGTTTCGCTCTGAAGGTTCATCCCGCCCCATGATGAGAGACGTTTCACGACGAGGTAAAGCTACATATATGTATAATAATATGCTCATAATATACTGACTATTTATTTATGTATGAGTGTGCATAGTTTTATGTCTCGAGGTGCGCTATACCATCAATATCACCTCGGGGTATACTCATACTTGGCTTCACACAAGTCGGGATTCGAACACGGGTCTCCGGCGTGACGAACGCGTTCTTTAATCACTATATTACATCAAAGCCCCTTACCACGTTATGCACGCCCCATCTTCTATTGCTTTAACCTGGATCAATGACCCGGTGGGTGTAATTACTCTGCATCAAACACCTTCGAAATAATTACATGACGTGGAGTAGCAGTTTGCTTCACTCGAGATCAGTTTTTGGGGTCAGTTGCCGAGGTTGTCTTCACCGACTCATTTGACAAATATGTTGTGTGTTATGTTTATGACGCTTACATATTAATCACAAAAACGGAAGTTTCTGCATACATCTGCTGCATACATCTAACAGATAAATATCTTCCTTCGACAACTGCAAACATTTTGGAAAAAGAAAGTTTGAAAAAGGTCAGGAAGTGCACATGTATATGCACATTAAGTCTTACACATAAAGCTACTATGACGAATTTTGCACTTTCTGCTTTATGTTTGCACCTCTTAATAAACAGAAAACTTTTCGATTACAAAAACATATGATTTCATTATTTTGACAAATGGTTTATGGGGATGTTGCATATAACGTGGACTATCAACTGTTTTAATAGTTTGTATCACAGTGTCATGGATACAAGTTGTACTCTAACTGTTAGTAGATTATCTACATATGCACACTTTACCCTTTAAGTACAGCCATTCGTTCACATATACTAACAACCTAATGGCTTCTCTTTGGCGTTCTGATTTGACAGGCGCACAAATGTCATAGAGACTATTACCCTAGTTTGAAGGACTCTGACGTTCAACGTGAATTCCTAATGATGAATATGGTCGACAATTGCTGCTTTGTCATAGTTCCCATTGGACGTAGAACATCCGCGTAAGTAGTACAGCATTTAATCTTTGGATATGTACATAATCATGCTCATATATTAACCTTACTGTACCCTTAATTAATTGTTACAGTTATATTTGTCATTATGAACTGCCGTGCAAAAGAATGTATTCACTTGAAAGTTTGCTTTGAGCAAAACATTACAAATGTTATCAAAACGCTGTAAACGGTCGCCGAAACACTGCAAACTTAAGGTCCAAAACACAACCATGATACTGGTATCAAATGCATCACCTTCGGATAACTCTTTCTTGTTTGTTTCATCTGAGCCGTCTTCAGACTGGGTGTACATCTTAGCCGCCTTCAGACTGGGTGTGCATCTTAGCCGTCTTCAGACTGGGTGTATATCTTAGCCGTCTTCAGACTGGGTGTATACTTTCGCCCGGCAGTTTATAATGCAATGCTAAGTCAATTCAATGTGTGGACATATCGGAATCCCGCAAAGCGGTCTTTGCGCTAAGATGATCGTAACTACCATTCGTTAATATAGACTTAAGACAGCCGTAACGCTAAGACCGCTTTATGGAACGGGACCCTGATCTCCAGTCATCCCTTTACATTTTCTGTGCATCTATCGAGCTTTATCTCTCCCCGCACTTCTTCATCGTTGTATGTAAAACGAGTGTGGCGAACTCGTTTGGATATTAAGGTATTGGCGCTTTCATGTTATGAATATTACAAAGTCGTAAGACGGATGCTACGATTAAATAAGCAATTATCCCAATTAAGCATTGTTGTTTACGATGAGAGAGATGCTACTGGTACAACAGTGGCTACATCAAACACCGCTACAACAGTATTTTACAGTAATTCCCATGTATTCACAGCGGGTATTACATTTGATCTATGTCATGACCCCTGTTATAACGGTTAACGGTATGAAATCACAACTGTTATGACGGTTAACGGTATGAAATCACAACTGTTATAACGGTTAACGGGATGAAATAACAACTGTCACGATGGTTAACGGTATGAAATCACAACTGTTATGACGGTTAACGGTATGAAATCACAACTGTTATGACTGCTAACGGTATGAAATCACAACTGTTATGACGGCTAACGGTATGAAATCACAACTGTTATGACGGTTAACGGTATGAAATCACAACTGCTATGACGGTTAACGGTATGAAATCACAACTGTTATGACGGTTAACGGTATGAAATCACAACTGTTATGACAAGTCATTGTATGTCAACACTACTTTTATTATAGGAACTGAAACATGCCGATTCAATATAGCTAGTGTGGTTAATACCCAAGTACCAAGTTGTCCAGTCGTCTAGGGCGCCGCGATTGGCTTCTCTTAATCGTGACTATGATAGTGGATACGAATCTCGGTGTATCCAAGGTGTCTAGGTTTATCAGCACCATACCTGTGCTCGTGGGTTTCACCAAAGTTGTCAATGTCTGTAGGGCCTACATCCTAAGCTTCCTCCCACGTCAAGCTGACACGATGTGATATAACTGAAATACAGTTTAAGGCGGCGTTAAACCCAACCTACTCACGCTTACAATGGCGTTGAGATGTACGACTCCACTTAACGTGATGTGATTTCTCTGTCTTTTACTCCTAGTATTTCTGTGTTGTAAAGATTTTTGTTATAGACAACTGTAGGTCATTGAAAAAGTAGCAAAGTTTACTAAAAACAAGGTGACGTTATAAATGGAGACTATATCTGAACGAAAACGGACAAACAAGTTGACTTATCCCCCTTGGTTAGGGGTTGCTTCTGGTAATCGCTTCTCTCACGTTGCAGTGCTAAATGTTTACCATCTGTTTTTGATTTAAACGAAAACGAGATTTTCCGCTAAGAAGATAGTGTGTATATTTGGTACATTTTGAAATAACGTCTTTTTTAATAATCAGTAAGACTGATTATCTTTGCGTCGATGATAGACAGATGAGGAAGTATAACAGAAGACGCAGAGGCTGCACGAGGCTGTAGGCAAATGCTATTCAGCCAAACGTGAGATTTATCTTGATGGAGCTAGTCACCATGTATTATAGGACCAAAGTATGAGAACGAGACTAGCGTCTTTAAATCTTAGCACACATGTCAAGTTCTCCAGAAAGTTCCCTACTTTTAATAACCAACACCATACAGACTGAGGGACGGGTAGACGGATAGACGGTCGAATACGACAGTTAAAATATGAGCATAATCAATGTAAATCTGACGCATTCGACGGTTTCATGACCTGACCTGAACGTCTCTGGTGGTTTATTTCATGATCATGATCATGAGTCGAGGTAATAGTTGGTAGTACAAAGAATGAAGGAGTCCACATTTTATTTTTTTTAATTTTTAGCATCTTTATTACATCATGATTACATTACTCCATGCCAGATCATGTCACACATTTGATACATAATGTATATTAAAGTAAAGCAATAGCGAGAGAATCACGTGTTAAATTTGATTAAGAGGAATCTACAATTAATGTAAGAACTCTTGTCGTTGCAGGTTCTAAGTGACGATAATGCGGCTCCTAATCATCTACGCAGCATGTTTTGTTTGTAGTGTTTCTCCTCGCGAACTGTTCTGTCCCCCAGAATGCCTCTGCCACACCGGAATCATTACAACCGGAGTAAAAGGCTACATCATCTCAAGCAACTCTGAAAACATGTCCAGAATTCCGGATCTTTCCGGACTAACTTCGAACCCACAACCTAAACTCCTGAGGTTATCCCGCAAAGCCATCACTCGAGTCACACCGGCGGACTTTCCCGAGGGAATCGGAATAACACGTCTTATCCTTGCCGGCAACAGGGAAATGAATCTTGAAGATGACGCATTTAGCAACCTACACGATTCTCTGGAATACCTCGACCTTGAAATAACAAAGATATTCTTTAACAATTCTCTAACATTCCTGAGAGGACTTGGAAAGCTTAAACATCTCGATCTGAGTTTCAACAACAAGTACCGCTATCAATTTGGAGACTCGAAGATTGTCAGTCGTCTTTTCTATGGCTTGGGCATGTCGTCTTTGAAAAAACTGAAGATGTACAACTGTGGAATCCAATCTATTGGATCAGATGTATTCCTAGGTATTGAAACACTGGAAGAGTTGGACCTCGCGGGGAACTCTCTCTCTAGTGTACCCGACGGAATTGCTCCACTCAGTGACTTGTCATTATTGGATTTAAGTCACTCCCGCTTCGCAACCTTAAAAAAGAAGCGTTTCATGCACAATAAAAAGTTGATGACGTTGAAAATGTTGTATACCAGAGTTACTACGATTGACGCCGACGCACTTTTTGGTCTCGAAAAATCTTTGGAAAATCTACACATAGCTTATTCTAAATTATCCGAATTCCCCACCGACGCTATTAAACATTTAACTGCTTTGAAGGTGTTTGAGTTGACATCGAATCCCTTGACAACAATTCCTGGAGGTTCAATGTCTGGATCTTTCTGTTTGAAGGATCTTCATATCAGCCAAACTAGTATCACACTGACTCACAACTCGTTTGAAGGCCAAGAAAAATGCATTAAACACTTATTCATGAGAAACATGGGCATAGAGAATATCCCCGTAGAACCCCTGAGATCTCTGAAGAAACTTCATCATCTGTTTCTGGATGAAAATAAAATTCAAGTACTGCGCACCGACTCTCTTACAGGCATTAAAGCCAACCTCCTTGTGTTGTCAGAAAACCCTCTGGCCAGGATAGAAAAAGGGGCGTTTAACAACCTCACCTACCCGTTATACGTCGAACTCCCCAACACTCGCCTGGAAGATTTAAACTTCGCCCTTGACTACAGTCCGGGGACATTTGATTCTCTAAACGTTAGGGGCCTGTCTTTAGAATGTGACTGCACGCTCGCTTTTCTGATCGACGAGGGAGTGGCGTTGTCAGGGTCTTGTAATGCCATGGACATCAAGATGGATCTTCGCAGTGCCAGCCTTCCAGAATATTTGTCAGATAAATGCTCTGCAGAAGCCAATTTTGTTTGTGGACACGTAATCTTGCTGAATATGATTGGTTTGTTGATGGTTTCAAGTGTCCGCAATGATATATGCTGAGTTTGTGATGTTTTACTTTATATTGATGAAATGCACGTTATTCGAAAGGAGATCAGTCTTTTTAAGAGACACACAATATTGTGACGTATGCTGAACGTATATGGAATTCGTACTATGTGTATTATTGCTACACAGACTACGTGTAATTGTTTTCTATCATGTGGGCAAGAAGGCATGCCTTTTTTTATTAATATTATTATTATAAGAGCTCCGAGCCGAAAGGCTTGAAGGTCGGAAATTGGTTAAGAACAGACTTAGCACACGCCAATTTCGTAGCGGCGATACCCTGCAAGTTGTGCCTACATGTTGACGGATTTAGTACAAGGAAACCCTTTGAGGATTCAAACATGGACGTTTGTGCACAGTGTTACTTGGAGCCCGCCATTGCTGCTTTGCAGCTATTATTATTATTATTATTATTATTATTATTATTATCATTATTATTAAATAATAATATCTTAATGGTTAATTATTGGTATGAATACAAACGTATCCCCCAGAAGGCAAATTTGGTCCTAAATAGTTGTATTCACATTATGTAACTTTCATGAGCAGCATCGGTACGCCGGTGTTCCTTCTATGATGTACATCATTCTGACAACGGTATAGTTTTACATTAGTATAAGTATGTGCTGTAGGAACCCAATAAGCGAAAACGGGCAATGGTAATTATCTGACCAAGAGTATTCTTTTCCCAGTTAGTATTTACCTTATGAAAAAATAAATGCTTATTCGAAATTATTTTCAGATCTTTGACTAGACATGTACCAGCATCGTCTTCACGTTAATGGTAACCCAGTGTCCACGTTGATGACACAAAACGTGACACATCTTTCACAATAGAAACCCCGTATTGTCCTTCTGTTGGCCCGCTACAGATATCTGCTACATTTCCGATACGCTGAGTAACCTAGTTTACAATCTATCACTCACTGCCTGTGCGTGTGCTACCGGGACATTTTTTAAAACTAAAAGATATCGACATCTTATCAAATTGGTGACAGCAACACTGATAGCAAACATTTCTATGTGTTGGTCTCCCTGACCTCATCTCACTGGCTAGAGTCAGAGAGAACTTCGGACGACACCGATTGGTTTGTATAAAATATGGACGAAAAAGAGTTTGTTGTCAGACAGATTACTTGATGGACGTTTTTTATAACACTAGGGGAGGGGTGTGTGTTCTTCTTTGTGGAATCCTATGCTGGCTTACGATATTCACTGGAACACGAGTCATTGGATATCATACATAAACCAAGCCACATCAACACTTTAAATTCACACGTAAAGGCCAGTGAATAACCAGTCTCGATTATTCGCCGAAACAGAATTTTGGCGTAAATCGCAAGATAGTGACGAAGATTATATGAATAGATCACTGAAAATCAGTGTAGAAACCAGGTGTTCGCGAAAAGGTGAGTATGTCCTGCGCCTCCGGTCGCACCCGCCACTCACAAATGTTTTCTAAAAATAAAAGTGTTTGTTGCTTAACGCTGCATCCAGCAATACTCCAGCCATACTACAACAGCCTGTAAACAGTCGAATCTGGACTAGACAGTCCAGTGATCAGTATCATTAGCAATGATCCACGCCCTCGGGGTAAAATACCACGCTGTCAGCCAAGTCACCAGGCCTGACGGTGTGAGTGAGTTGGGTTTAACGCCGCTTTTAACAGTATTTCAGTTATATCGCGGCGTGTCAGCTTAATGTGGGAGGAAAATGTGAAGAAAGCCTCAATACCCTTTCTTTGATACACCCAACAAAGGACTGGGGATCTAAAACAGTAATACGAATTTATCGTAAAAAAATATATTGTGCTCGAAATTGCTTGAAAAAATGAACTATGATTCAGTCTTTTTTGAAAAGAAGAGAGAGTGAGTGAGTGAGTGAGTTGGGTTTAAAGCCGCTTTTAACAGTTTGCCAGTTATATCACGGCGTGCCAGCGTAATGTGGTAGGAAAGCCCGAAGTGATGCAGGTCGCAGACGTTTACCACTTCGGTGTAACCCAGGAGCATGGGTCTGGTGCTGACAAACCTAGAAACATAATCGTGGCGAACCGGGATTCGAACCCACAATCATAGGTTTCTGGCGTGCTCAAGGGACGCAACTCTGCACAGCGAATCGCGGCGCCTTAGACGACTAAATTGCCGGTCGCTCAGAGCTGTACTATTGACGTACTGAGACGCTGTTGTTTTTGCGAGTGGAATGTAGGAAATGACGTTGACAGTTAGCCGGAATACAAACCAGGAAGAATTTATATAATAATGATGTAAGATAATTTTATTTAAATTTCCTCTCATATGTCAGTCCTCTGGAGTCGGGGAGGTAAGACGGTTTATTATGCGTTTAGTCAGAAAATCGATATTTCAATCGAGTCATGTGTTTCCCGCGAGGTAAAAAGACCACTATGCTACGTTTCACTATGCCTCATTCTTACTATGGGTTACTGACTAAGACATGTGCGATCGTCACTGACAATGTTGACATCTTCACTCGTGACTGCCCCTCTCATGACAATGTACATTTTTCCAGGTCATTTATGAGATAAACATGTTATTTAACGAGAAAAGCCAAATATACTCTATGTATTGTATAACACTCTTATATAACCTTGCTAAAATACATTTCATTAATAGTTTTTCGGTTGTTTCATTGATCGACGACAGATGAATTGTGATATTTATTCTTCAGTCACATATACAACGGTAGACGGACGATGTGGGGGCATTGGTGAAACCCACCGATGCCCCCACATCGTGGCATGCCACAGATTGTTGCTCACATCTGTTACACATCGGTATAACCAAAGGTGATCGGTGTCCGAAAGATTTTGGAAAAAAAGGTACTAGGCTTATACCGTCCTTTGATTGACCAGTCACCTGGCGGGAATCGCCCGGTAATCCCCCGATACCCGAACGGTGCCCGTCCGATGTAAACCAAATCGTGGTGAACACCGCCCGTTTCTGCTCGCTATAAAAGGAGCCCGCTCAGTGCCCGGCTGGTCACAGTTCGTGTTCGCCGTCGAAATTGCTGCAAGTGCTGTATCACATTCCAGTTGATTTGGTAAATTTGTGTCACAGATCCATTATCGATGGGGGTGTGGACCACCGGTCGCCGCAAGAAAATAACTCTTTTCTTCCGATGTGTCCACCGGGGTCTTCCCGATGTCAAAAACACGTCAAATGCTCACAGATGATCGTCCGGCGCTGTCGAGAAACTCTCAATTTTGCCGATTTTCAGCCTTTTCGGGCATCGTAAACTAATCTTTCCCGACATCGGTGGACATGTGACTGAGGCATTATCAACCGATACTTTACCATAGTTATAAATCACTCTATTTTAAAAATCACAGAGATAGATGCATGTAGTGTAATGTATTACACAAATTAGAATCTCAACGAAATAAACATTTAAATTGACAGTCATACAGCTTCCGATATTGGCATGACAGTTGTCCGAATTAAGGTGGGTTAGCAAAAAACAAGCTTTAAACGTGATTGATAAAGGCCACACACATCTAAAATCGCTCAAGTTCAATGACGGTTCACTCTCAATCTGCCTACACTGTAAATTAAAGTGTAGGCACAATGAGAACACCCCTATTTCAATAATAACAGTGTCCAGACTGTTAGACAAACTAAAAAAGAATGTGTAATATTTAATGTTATTTAATAGCAAAAACTTTGTGTTGAGAAATTGGGCCCAGATCTATCAATAGTTCACATCGTCATCTTAGTTCACAGTTCACATCTTCAGTTTCAACAGGTGTCAACAAGTTCATTGAGCTCATCTGTCCTTGCACAAGCTTCACTTTCAGTGTCTGAAGACGCGAGTCTAAGTCTCTTTGACTCGGCACCGTAGATTACTCATGAGGCGTAAGGTTGAGTCGTCTTCAAAAACTTTGTGGTTGTGAGGGGATGAATTTCGAACAAATTCACCAACTGTGCTAATTTTGCCAAGACAGTTAGCCAAGACACACTTCCAGTGAGTTGCAGTCTGTCGGCGGTTGTTCAGGCGATACCTGAAGCCTCCAAACAAGACTTGCTGACCTCCAGCCTGAGAAGTGGTGAACTCAACTTTCTGTAACGCCGCCATCACAACACTGTCACCAAAGTTTTACACACACCTTTTATACTATTTCAGGGTTTTTAGAATAAAATACTCCTTGAAATAAAGTAATAGGTTAACAATGTGAGTAAAAGTGTGAATAGGATTAACTAATAAAAACAAACAAAGTACATAAGTAAGTGTTTGATCTCTGAGTTAATTGGTTAATCCTTCTAACTGAGAAGGCATTGAAACTTAATAAAGAATTTTGATAACTAATCAAAACAAACAAAAAAACATTGGCATGTCTCACATTAACCTTTAAATTATTTTGTGTCTGAAAGGCCGTGCGGCCGATGTTGTTTTTTAATCTACTGTTGATACCACATGTATGTAAAGCAACATCTTCCTTTTCTCTCGCTGTTACATTGTGGACCATTCCATTTTTCACCAGGTAAGATAGCAATTCACTACTCTCAGTCTGCCTACACTAATTACTAATTTATACTCAGCCTGCCTACAAAAAAGTGTAGGCAGATTGAGATGTAGGCAGACTGAGAAATTACCAACGATGACAGTTGGTGTTCTCTCCTGCCCACAATTGGGCATGGGTGGCTCCCATCTGTATCATACCCAGGGCCCGCTCTTGTTGTTCTGGTGTCAGTCGTGGCGTGTCTGACGTGCCGTCCGTATCATTTATATACCCTCATTGAACATGTACTCTCGGCTGCCCAAGCGGCACGTGTTTTTCACTATTTCGCAATTTCTACAAAAAAAACACCGTGCCCTGGACGTGTTTTACTTTGTGCATAGAGCTTTGTTGTGTTTGGACGATGTGGTTTGCATTGATTTAGTTTGAACTTGTGTTTTTCAATTTTTGCAATTATATTTTTAAAGTGGACGTGTCATATGTTTGCCTTAGGTTTTACGTTAAAACGAAATTGTTCGCTGAACATGCTCGTTGTCCTGAAAGAAAATATGCCGCGAACAAAAGATAAAATCGGCTCTTCCCTTCCTTCAGGGTGATACTAATAAATTGTATGTTAAGAAGGAATGACCAAAACAATATCCATTTCCTTGAGCTAACTTACCCGACTAAGGAACATTCACACGTAACAACTTATCGTATACAACTTCTTGGACCAACTAGTTGTACCTTGTGAACCGGTCTTTGGTAATAAGCTTTACCACTTGTGAGTGATGAGTAAGTGAGTTGAGTTTTACGACGCCTTTCATGTGTTTCATCTAATACACATCTCAAATATCTTTTCAGGTTCTTCATGATACCACATGACTACTTGAGTGTACCACACGTCTTACAGTCTGAAGAAAATCATACATGACTAAAATACCAAATTGGAGTACGCTAGCAAAGAATCCTCGGGACAAGATGGTACACGTTATAATTTACGCAACTTTAGTTTTCTATACATTTTCCTCTGTGCATACATCTGATGTGAGTTGCCCTGCGAGATGTGTGTGCAGGACTCGACGAGTACCAAAGCTTGGCAACACCTACTTCGTAAATTGTAAGGGCAGAGCATTCATAAAAGTCCCAGATCTTTCATCTTTAAGTCAAAATGCTCTCCCAAAACGTTTGGATTTTTCAAGAAACATGCTCATGTCCATATCCCAGAACGACTTCCCCAGCAATCTGAACATCGCCATGCTGTTTCTCGAAGCTAATGACAACGTGAAATTACAGGATAGCGCGCTGAAAAACCTTGCGGGGTCCCTACAGTTCCTGGGGTTACAAAGCATCCGGCTGCAATTCACTGCTCCCTTTACCTTCCTTAGAGGGCTGACCAAGCTGGAGAAGTTGATCCTTAACTACAACAGTCAGAAAAATGATGGTGTCATCGCACCAAACATCTTTAAAGGTCTTGGTTTGACCGCCCTGAAGGATGTGTCCATGTACAACTGTCATATCGCAGGTGTTGCAGATAAAGCTTTTGTTGGTATTGAGAGTCTGGAGGAGTTAGATCTGACGTTTAACTGGTTGAAAGAGGTTCCTTCTGCCATCAAGGATCTGTATAATCTCAAGAAGCTTACCCTGAGGTTGAACAACATTAAATCAATATCTAGCAATAGCTTTCTGGGAATGTCGACTTTACGTGAGCTCGATCTCAGTGATAATGGTGGCTTGACAATTGAGGAGGGATCTTTCAATGGGCTTCAGAAGAGCCTCGTGTCTCTGTCAATGAGGACATGTCAACTAGATGATGTGCCCACAGCAGGGATGCAGAGTCTTACAGCCCTGAAGACCTTGAACGTAGGATACAACCCGCTTGTTGACATGTCATCTACATCTCTAGAAGGATCTTACTGTCTCAAATCCCTGGACATTAGCAAGACACTGGTGCCTCTACAAGCATCCATACTCGAACCACAGAAAACCTGCCTGGTTTCAATATTTATTAACGACAAGGGTTTGACAGAAGTACCTAGAGATTTCTTGTCCAATTTGACCAAGATTCATCACGTTTCTCTAAACAAGAACCAAATATGTGTTTTGAAAACTGATTCTCTGAAAGGAATCCGAGCAAATTCCTACGATTTTTCTGATAATTGCCTCAGTAAGATAGAAAACAATGTTTTTGATGGAAAGGGGCGAGGTATTTCGTTGGCTTTGAAACGAACCAACATGACCGATGTACGTTTCGTTTTACAGTACAAGGAGAAAACCTTCCAACAGATTTGGCTGGAAGGTATAGATTTGAACTGCGATTGTTCTGTGTTTGAAGCCATGCGGATGTCTGAACCGTGGACGTTGGAAGGACAGTGTCTGCTGAACGCCGAGTCCAAAGACTTGAAGGACTATGAGTTTAAGACATTCCTCCAAAACAACTGTACAGTGGTGGAGAATGAGAAGGGAACAGTTGACCAAGTTGTGACTTCACTTAAAGAAAA